GTCATGTTACAGCCAACACAGTGTGATAGACCAACACAAAGTGATACATAATTGTGAAGTGGAAGGAAAAATTATAAATGGTTTTCAAAATGTATTACAAATAAATATCTGAAATGTGTGGCGAGCATTTGTATTCAGCCCCCCTGAGTCAATACTTAGAATACATAGAACCACCTTTCGCTGCAGTTACAGCTGCAAGTCTTTTTTTGGTATGTCTCTACCAGCTTTGCACATCTAGGGAGTGAAAATTTTTGCCCATTCTTTGCAAAATAGCTCAAGCTCTGTCAGATTGGATGGAGAGCATCTGTGAACAGCAATTTTCAAGTCTTGCCACAGACTTTCAATTGTGTGTTTAGGTCTGGACAGAGCAGCCCTACTCCTCCTCCTCCTCTAGGGTCCCAGACCAGCGCTCCTTGTTCCCTCCCCCCTTCCGAGTACCCTCAAAGCGAGCCGCTCCTGCATGCTCCCGAGCCACTTCTGTGTGTCCATAAGACTTTGATGAACCATTCACCCCGCTGCAGTCTCTGAGCAAATGAGCAGGCAGAGAGGCAGGACAGCAGCCACTCTCATGCACATTGCTGTATCAGGATTGGGCTTGGGCAGGGGCGGACTGTCCATTTGGAAACTCGGGCACTGGTTAGTAGGGGGCCCCATGAGATGCCCCTAGTACCTTTTTCATTGGCTTTTTTGAGTTTGGGCAAGGACACAGGGGCCCCATGATCCTCTATTGCCCGGGGGCCCCATGAGTTGTCAGTCCAGCCCTGGGCTTGGGTAAGTATTAGGGAGGCCATGGGGGGAGCTGTATACTAGATTGTAAGCTCCAAGGAGCAGGGCCCTCCTAACTCTCTTGTATTGAACTGTATTGTTGTTGTATAGTCTCCCGTTATATTGTAAAGTGCTGAGCAAACTGTTGGCACTATATAAATCCTGTATAATAATAAAAAGCAGTAGTAAACTGCAGCTAAAATAATAAAATCCCCTGCAAGGTAATGTCATAATGTGCTAGTAAGTACCGCATACTAGCATATTATGAAGGACTTGCTTTAGAAGCCGTCCAGCGGCCCCACTGTCACTGTTGCTGAAGCTTCAATCTTCACCCGGTCTTCCTTCCGGGTTTGCGAGCTCCAGCCGTCTGACTGGCTGAGCCATAGTGATGTCACTCAGGCCACGGTGCAGTGCTCTGAAGGAATGGCACAGGTATGCCATTCCATCAGAGGGCATGCGCCAGCTCTCAAAAAGAAATATTAATGTAGGAGATATTAATTTTTACCTGCAGGTAAGCTTTATCATAAGCTTGCCTGTAGGTAAAAGTATTCAAAAAGTTTACTACCACTTTAAGGTTTTGCATGAAGGTAAAAAACCTTCAGGCTTTACAACTACTATAATTAATCTAATTCGACATAAAATTAATAAAATAATTATTAGTAGCATGTTTTACAGGTTTATTATTATCATTAATATTTTCTGGAATGCGACTGCACATGCAGGTGTATATATAGTTGTGCTCAAAAGTTTACATATCCTGGCAGAAATTGTGAAATTTTGGCATTGATATTGAAAATATGACTGATCATGCCAGAAAATGCTCTTTTATTGAAGGATGATGATCATATGAAGCTATTTTATTATCAAATAGTTGTTTGGCTCCTTTTTAAATCATAATGATAACAGTAATCACCCAAATGGCCCTGATCAAAAGTTTACATACCCAGGAATGTTTGGCCTTGGTACAGACACACAAGGTGACACACACGGGTTAAAAGGCCAATTAGAGGTTAATGTTCCACATCTGTGGCTTTTTAAATTGCAATTAGTGTCAGTGTATACATAGTCAATTAGTTTGTTAGCTCTTATGTGGAAGCACTGACTAGACTAGATACTGAGCCATGGGAATCTGAAAAGGACTGTCAAAAGTCCTGCGTAACAAGGTACTGGAACTTTATAAAGATGGGAAAAGGACATATAAAAATGTCCAAAGCCTTGAATATGCCAATCAGTACTGTTAAATCACCTATTAAGAAGTGGAATGTTCGGGGATCTCTTGATACCAAGCCAAGGTCAGGTAGACCAAAAAATTGCAGTCATAACTGACAGAATAATTGTCTGGGATTCAAAGAAAAACCCACAGGCAACCTCAAAAGAAATACAGTTGCTCTCGAAAAAGATGGTGTGTGGTTGTTTTTAACCACCTCCCTCCCGCCCGCCATATAGTAATATGATGGATGCAAGGTGGTTCTCTCGTTCTGGGAGGACGTCATATGATCGGACACAGCGGATCACCGATCACGGAAAGAGCCGAAGATGTCGGCTCGCTCATGTGATCAGCTGTGTCCAATCACAGCTGATCACATGTAAACAGGGAAATGCCGGTTATTGGCATTTCTCTCCTCTCGAGCTGTCAAGCTGACAGAGAAGAGGAGAGGAGAGCAGGTAATCGGCATTCCGCGGAGGGGACATGTACACTGATCATCAGAGCACTGATGATCAGTGTGCCCTGATGATCAGTGTAGCCCCAGCAGTGCCACTTGTCAGTGTCCATCAGTGCCTAGTGCCAGTGCCCATCAGTGCCACATCAATGCCACATATCAGTGCCTACCAGTGCACATCAATGCCACATATCAGTGCCCATCTGAGCTGCCTTTCAGTGTAACCCATGAGTGCCAGTCAGTGCCACCTATCAGTGCTGCCAATCAGTGCCACCTATCAGTGCCAGTCATTGCCGCCTATCAGTGCGTGTCAGTGCTGCCTATCAGTGCCTGTCAGTGTCGCCTATCAGTGCCAGTCAGTGCCACCTAACAGTGCCAGTCCGTGCCGCCTAATAGTCCCAGCCAGTGCCGCCTATCAGTGCCAGTCAGTGCCGCCTATTAGTGCCATATATCAGTGCCATGTATCAGTGCTGCCTTTCAGTGCCCATCAGTGATGCCTGTCAATGCCCATCAGTGCCACTTACCAGTGCCTCCTCATCAGTGCCCATCAGTGCCACCTTATCAGTGTCCATCAGTGCAGCCTATCAGTGCCCATCAGTGCAGCCTCATTAGCGCATATCAATGAAGGAGAAAAATCACTTATTTACAAAATTTTATAACAAAAACTAAGAAAAATTTTTTTTTTCAAAATTTTCGGTGGTTTTTGGTTTGTTTAAGAAAAAATAAAAAAACCCAGAGGTGATTAAATACCACCAAAATAAAGCTCTATCTGTCACAAAAAAAATTATAAACATTTCATATGGGTACAGTGTTGCATGACTGCGCAATTGTAACTCAAATGCGACAGCGGTTAAAGCTGGAAATTGGCCTGGGCAGGAAGGGGGTATAAGTGCCCTGTAGGCTTGAGGTTAAGGAGTACAATACGGTTACACTTGAACAAAAATGAGCTGTTTGGTGGAAGTGCCAGAAATAAGCTTTTACTGCACCAATGCCACAAAAAAGCCCGGTTACAATATGCCTGACAACACCTTGACATGCCTAACCAGGCCTTTTTGTGTCATTGATGCAGTAAAGGCTTCTTTCTGGCACCTCGACCATGCAGCTCATTTTTGTTCAAGTGTCATCATATTGTGCTCCTTCAAAACAACCACACTGTCTTTTTCCAGAACAGACTGCATTTTTCTTGTGGTTACCTATGGGTTTCCCTTTGTATCCCGAACAATTCTTCTGGCATTTGTGGCTGCTATCTTTCTTGGTCTACCTGACCTTAGGTTGGTATCAAGAGATCCCCAAACTTTCCACTTCTTAATTGGTGATTTAACAGTACTGATTGGCATATTCAAGGTTTTGGACACCTTTATATGTCATTTACCATCTTTATAAAGTTCCATTACCTTGTTACGCAGTTCTTTTCTGATCCCTATGGCCCAGGATCTGGCTCCGTATCTAGCCCAGTCAGTGCTTCCACATAAGAGCTAAAAACTCATTGACTATTTATACACTGACACTAATTGCAATTTAAAAAGCCACAGATGTGGGACATTAACCTCTAATTGGCATTTTAACCCGTGTGTGTCACCTTGTGTGTCTGTACCAAGGCCAAACATTCTAAGGTATGTAAACTTTTGATCATGGCCATTTGGGTGATTTCTGTTATCATTATGATTTAAAAAGGAGCCAAACAACCATTTGATAATAAATGGCTTCATATGATCATATCCATCAATAAAAGCATTTTTTGGCATGATCAGTCATATTTTCAATATCAATGCCAAAATTTCACAATTTCTGCCAGGGTATGTAAACTTTTGAGCACAACTGTGTCTTAATAATGTAAATATATTACTGCATTGGTAATAATAACAATAATCATTTCTAGTAGCATGGTTTTGTTCTGTTTTTTTTCATTTTTTATTATTGGTATCCTTTTTTTTCTGGAATGCAAAGGGTTTAACTTTAAAAATATACTCTGCATTCCAGGTGGAATCCCTAGACCAATCCAGCTCTGTTTCATGTCACAGATAGTGATGTTAGGTATACAATAAATCTGACATCTTTTACACACAATCCACTGACTTTTATAATATACTTGGTTTAAGCTCAAGCTTACTCATGAATATGTATTACATAATAAAATGGCTTAGATGCTTGTTTACTAACTTAATATCAGTAAGCTGTTTGCTTCTTATGTTTTGCATTTCTAGTGACCTTATATGAATCTCAAAAAGTTGCCAGAAATCTCAGCAAACATTTAAATGAAATGCTCGAACATGAAGTGGAAAAGCAATCTTTGATGTTCTTTTCTCATTACAGTGAAAAGCATGAGCAGTTTTCTAGATTATGTAAATAAAACAGATTGCGGTTTGACTGCAAAGACTCTTAGACAAGATAAAAAAATTACAAGGATAGATTTGCTGCCTCCATTTTCCTTCCGACAAAGGGATTACAAGTAAAATATGCAAAGAATGGTTTTCCTAGGTATACAGCAGGTTGGAAGAATCATAAAAGCAACATTGCCAGGGGAGGGCAAGGAGCAACCCACATAATTGTCAAGCAAGTGATTTGATGTGAGATGGTAAAAATCTATATTGAAAACTGAAATGCATAAACTTGTACAATGATTTACAAATTCATATTTTAAATATTCTATACCTCGCTGCTGAGCCTATTATATGCTGACAGATGCATGCTCCAGCTTGCCAATAGCTTGTGTTTATCTCCACAGCAGGGGAGGACTGATCATTTGGAAACTCGGGCACTGCCCGAGGGCCCGAGGTCAGTAGGGGGCCCCATGAGATGCCCCTGGTACCTTTTCATAGGCTTTTATGAGTTTTGGGCAAGGACACAGAGGCCCCATGATCCCCTATTGCCTTGGGGCCCCATGAGTTGTCAGTCCATCCCTGCTCCACAGACTGAAGTATAGTCAAAGGTGGCAACATGCTACTGACCCACAGACCAAGGGATGTACTGAAATCACTCGGTCTTAATTTTTTTATCTTAACTTAACCCACCGAACACCAGTGAAAACTTTTTTTTATTTTTGTTTTTGGAAGAATGAGAGAGGATTAGAATCCTATTGCCATTTGTTCCTGTTGGAGAATTCCCATTACTTTTTGCCCTTGTCCTTCAAGTGGCTTCTTATATTATCATTGCACTCCCTATTGGAAAGGGCCTCTAGTTAGTCATTGTACAGGCTGAAAGTTTTTTACCTTCATGCATTCTATGCATGAAGGTAAAAACCTGTGTGCAGCAGTTCCCCCTAATACACACCTGTACCCCATCTCAATCCAGCAATGTGCACAGGAGCCTTGGCTATCCTGGGTCTCCCTCTCCTCATTGGCTGAGACAGCAGCATGAGTCCATGGCTCCAGCTGCTGTAAATCCCAGCCAGTGAGCCAATGAGAAGAGAGCGGGTGCAGGGCCAAACCACCACTCTGTGTCTTCTGGACACATAGAGTGAAGGGGCTCAGGAGCGAGCATGCACCAGTGCCCCCATAGCAAGCATCTTGCTATTGGGGATACTGGTCAAGGGGGAGGAACCAGGCAGGGGACTAAAGAAGAGGATTGGGGCTGCTTTGTGCACTGTGGACAAAAAACCATTGCACAGAGCAGGTAAATATGACATGTTTTGTTATGTGTCTCCTTTTGTTTTTTTTAAGACAAACCTTTAATATCACTTTAAAGAGTGCTGTAGCAACTGCTGATAGGTCAACTGCTATCAAACATACCAAGGATCTTTATGAAATTTTAGGTTTTTGTTAGAGAGCTTACCTCACAGTTCAGATAGTACATTTCAGTACTGTGCAGGACCATGTTTTGTCAGGCATGTGATACGTTCACAGTGCATGAAAAAAGCTATTTTAAAGAAAACATCCACCAATCCAAATCCACAGAAAATTAAATATCTTTCTGACCTCTGAACAAAACCGAAAACCTTACTCAAGCCCACACACTGCTGGGATACCACTGAACAGGTGCCAGATGGCTGCACTAGTGTAAAAATCACCTTTATTTAGAAAATTGCCAGAGTAAAAACATCAAGGAAATAGTGAAGAGCAGGATAACCCACGTTTTGTGCTACACAAGCTCTTACTCTTAGCCATAGCTATAAGTAAGCACTAGTGTAGTACGAAACATGTCAGCTTTCTGATTTTCTAAGTAAAGGCGATTTTTTCTACAGTAGGTACAGTAGTCCGGAATTTATTTTTTCCCTTTTTGACTTCTGGTATCATATTGAAGCCACCTGACATCTTTAACAAAAAATATGAAAACTGGGATTAAAGTGGACCTCCCCAACGGGAAAAAAAAATAATGTTGCATGCAGCTCTGCATGCTGATATCAACTCATCTTAGTTTGAATGTTGAAAAATGGCACTTAGCTTTTTTCAGCTACATTGCACTTCTTGCTCTCTGGAGGCACTGGTGATATAGCCAGGGCCACACAGATGCATTCTGGCCCAGTGTCTTCCTTGGGAATCTTTTGTGTACACTGCAAGATCTCACAAGATTTCTGGCAAAAGCATTTTTTTTTCTTTGTTTAGATGATGTCTAGTGTCATGTGGGCAAGGAGGGTAAGTTAGAACTCAGGCAGTAAGGGGAATCATCTGCTTCTTAAATTGGCTAGGTAAAAAAAAAATGAAAACAATTATTGGACAAAAAAACCTGCAAAAAAAAGTAAAACGTGTTTGTTTTTTTTTTTTGGAATGTCCTTTTCACATGCTTTTTTGTTGTGGCTTTACTTTCTATCTGACCCTTTGGAAAGGTCTGCTGTAAAATTAACTGAATGTTAAGAAGATTTTTCCAGTATGAACTCTTCTAAAGCTAATATACACTGCTCAAAAAAAATTAAAGGAACACTTTCAAAACGCATCAGATCTCAATGTGGAAAAATATCATGCTGGATATCTATATTGATATGGACTGGGTAATGAGTTAAAAACGTAAGGATGCCCCATCGTTTGATTATCGGGGCATCTTTAAATTCAGTCCTCTGTAGGTTGATAATAATATGAATCATAATATGATTCATTTCCATCAAAGTGATAAAATGATGCAGCTGGCTAGTCCATTTTACTGAAATTTCATTGCAGCAACACAAAATAGTACTCAGTAGTTTGTACCCCACGGGCTTGTATGCATGTCTGACAACCCCGAGGCATGCTCCTAATGAGACGATAGATGGTGTCCTGGGGTATTTCCTCCCACATCAGGTCCAGGGCATCGCTGAGCTCCTGGACAGTCTGAGGTGCAACCTGATGGCATCGGATGGACCGAAACATGATATCCTTGAGGTGTTCTATTGGATTTAGGTCAGGCGAGCGTGGGGGCCATTCAATGGTATCAATTCCTTCATCCTCCAGGAACTGCCTGCATACTCTCGCCGCATGAGGCCAGGCATTGTGGTGCACCAGGAGGAAACCCAGGACCAACTGCACCAGCGTAGGGTCTGACAATGGGTCCAAGGATTTCATCCCAATACCAAATGACAGTCAGGGTGCCATTGTCTAGCCTGTAGAGGTCTGTGTGTCCCTCCATGGATATGCCTTTCCCAGACCATCACTGACCCACCACCTAAACGGTCATGCTGAACGATGTTACAGGCAACATAATGTTCTCCATGGCTTCTCCAGACCCTCTGTCACATGTGCTCAGGGTGAACCTCCTCTCATCTGTGAAAAGCACAGGGCACC